AGAAAAATTGTCATTTTTAGAATCATGAAGAAAGTTTTTACCATCACAGCAGCCGGTAACAACTATTAATCTTTAACTAAAACATGTTTTTAGGTCTAGCTTAGGTGTCACATTGGAGAATTTTCTGATGATTTTGTGGCATTTATTCGTGCATTTTGCTTTCTTAATTGGATTAGTGAAATAAAGACGACCAGTTTTTGTTGATTACAGAAAGATAATGCCTATAAATGGTATTGGAACAGTAAGAAGAAGTAATATGCTTCCAAATGAGTGCAATTAGTCTTGGATTGATGACCCGAAGTACTTTTAAACGATCGTTAAAAAACCTGTGAAACGGCATCTAAACTTTGCATATTTTAGCCGCGAACGGTCATCCAGCAATGAAATGCTGGGAATGGCAGTAAAATAGACAATTTCCTCATTCTAATTGTAATTTCGTTATTAGGATGGATAGTACAGATAGTAGCATTGATGATAAAAATTTTACGCAAAAGTTTTGCCCGCGCGCGCTACTTTCGGTCCACTCACTGTCTCAATTTCATACCGCGCGGGGGCCTGGTACTACCGGATTTTCCCGGACTTTTAAACAGTCCGGTTTCAAAATGGCGGATAGTCAGAGAAAAAACTCGAACAAAAGCATTCTTTTTCGAAGAAATATTGATCAATATTCCCTAGGAGAATCTACCTGAACTTAACAAGGAAAGGATGCAGAATTCCTGCCATGCCCTGAAGCTAAACTTATAGCTGACACTCAGCAAGTGCAAGCAATTGTTCGATGAACAGGTCGCTCGAACCATAGATGATTATAAATTTTCTACAGCAAAGGATCCTCCGATTAATTCTACCCGGATCTGTAAAGTAGAGGATCATTGCGGGCAAGAACACAGATGTGATTGTGTACGTACCGATCGTAACCTAAGTATGCTGGAGCAAAACTTAAAAGGGGAGTACAGAGGGGCTTACCTGGATTATTCCCGTCGCGGAAAAGAGTGATTTCCGTGGGACATAAGGTACTTTAATTTGTGGCGTTATGTACGTTAAACCTAGTCTTGAATCACATGCAGGGAGAATAAGGGGCTAGTCTATACTCAGTATATGCTAGCCAAAAGGTATGATGTAGGTGACGTTCTTGATTGTGATTACAGGGTAATCGCCCAAATTGTAAACATGCGGCTCTATTAGACCCAATAAGTTCCAAAAAGAGGCAGCTCAACAAATGAGCCCTTGTAAGCCATTGCTATTTGATATTTTATCAGTGAATTTATACATGTCTTGAGTAGATCTAAATTACTAGAATTGGAATGTAACTGGAAGGTACAGAATCGCATGCAGGGGCCAAAGGGACAAAGAAACTATACACAATTTATCCCCTTAGGGAAAATTACTTGTGTATTATAACATTACTGCTTAATGCATGAAGTCTGGTCACAGGAACTGCAGTGTTACTGGATGAGAAATGCCTCTCAAGTAAGACTGAAGTATACGTGCTTTTATCTATGTTCAGTGAGAATTGTTTCCGGTCTGATCTTTAGGATTTCTACTGAGACTGTACACAGTGACAGGGAGAAAACCTAATGTAAGCCTTGCCAACCTAATAAGATGTTGCCCTTTCACTCAGGGTCACTCTGGTGTGTCTCACTTATTGGTAGTCTTTATTTTGTGGTTTTAAAAACAGGTACACCCACTCCCTTATCATTCCCCGATATTCGGTTGGATCCAGCGCCGTAAAAAAAGCTAAACTCGACGGTTCTTTGTTCAAATTTTTTGTCAAACATTAATATTTGGGAATTGTTCCAGTACTTCCTAGTAGCAGAAGTCTCCAATCAGATCTTTCTTTTCTTGAAGATTTTAATCAAAGTTCTTTATAACAGTAAAACAAGTGTTCTTTGCTATAGAATATTAATTTTCTGGAGTAATCTGGCCCTTAATATCATTTCAACTGCATGCAATGACCTTTGCTTTACATGTACCTTCTATTTTGGAAACCATTTTGAATCAGGAATTTAACTGAAAAGTCTGGGAAAATCCAGTAGTGCCAGGCTCCCGCACGGTATGAAATTAGGCAATAATCCTAGCCAACAACAGCTGTCCAAATTCCAAGAAGTGCCAGGTTACAAGGCAGCAGGTTCATTTGTGTGTGTACTGTGACCCACCCAACCAATGATAGACTGTGTGTGATGTGAAATCAATCATAGTTACATGTAGAGAGGTAGACTTGCCCACAAGTTGAGCTTTCTTGAGCTCAAACCGCGAGCTAGAAATGCTTTACCTTTTTGGTGGCAAAGCGAACAGAGAGTGGGAGCTCAACTTGTTACCCATGAAGAAAATTGTCATTTTGTGTCCAGACTGGCAGGGCTGTCAAAGTATATCAAAATAAAAGTAGTTCGGTAATATTTTTTTTGCATGAAAAATCCGGCTCTTGCTAGTCTGTTAAAACGCAGAATTAATGCTGACTAAAACTTAGGTGTGCGTAGCTCTTCCCTACAGTGTTTGCCAACAATTAATGCTGTGAATCAGTAGATCAGAGAATCCTGTTCTAAGGAGGCAACTATTTACAGGTGCAGAGAAAACAAAAACTTGTTTTTTTAAATGATCTGGAATTTCTCATCTGTCCTGATATATTCAGTCGGAACAGCAATCACAAATAATTTGCCAAAACTCTGCTGATGGGAATGAAAAACTAACAAAAAACTTCTAAAGTTTAGAAAAAAATTTGTCACGATGTACGTGCTCAATGCTCTTTTAACCTTCAGCTGCCAATGAAGATCAAATCAAAGGATCAAGACCTAAGGCTAAGAGATGTGCTTTAAATGGTACAACAACCAAACAAATGGGTGAAATTTCATCTCTTTCCTCATACGGTAATAAAGCAAAAACATAATGGGCAATTTCAAAAAATTAATGTTCGAGAACATCTTTGTAGTTTAATAGCTTTCTGTAACTTGTACATGATGTCATCCTTGTTACATCTGTAGCACACATGGCACTTGGCTTTGTTTTTGAATACGAGCAATAAAGAGGAGACCTTGAACATGAAATAACCAATTAATACAACCCACAAAAAAATAGAGAACTGCTGCGATCTAAGACACCGATTGTCTCAATTTGAATGTGGATCAATTCAAAACAGCTCAAGTCATGTTTCATGAGGTGTGATCAGAATGGATTGACGGCGCATTAGTAAAAACCGTTCATGATTGGATGAAAAACTCCTCCTGTAAATTTGGCGTGCTGCAGGGGATAAAAGTCCTTTCGCACTGGGGCCTACTACCAGAACTGGAAACGAGAAGCAAAGGACTTTGAGAGTCTATTAGTGGGCTAGAACATCTCATGGGAGAAGGAGTGTGGAATCCTTTACACAAAGGGGACATAAGGGTTGTCCTTCACATGTTTTACACTGTGAACTGATAACAAATACTGTGAATTTTACCCACTTGGCAGTTATAGCATGGGGTAAATTATACTGTACTTCGTGCCAAGCATCAATTACACTGTTTTCTTGATCAGAGTGTCCAACCTTTTTCATTATGTAAAATGGGAAGTTTCTTTAATCTGCGCATTGATGAATCACGCAGGCGCCAAATATATGCGTGTTCCACTAGAAAGAGGGGTCAGGGACATGCTGCCCCAGAAAATTTAAAAACTTGATGTTCTGAAACATTATTTCTAATGTTCTAAATTTTGTTATGCTTATTTTCATGTTTGCAACTTTGCATACAAGTCCTCAACTTTATTTTATATTTTGTATGGTTTTTTATCAGTATTGCAGAGGTCAAGGGTTTGAATCCCATACAAGTCTGAATCGGGCTTTCTTCTCGCAACTGCAAAAGTTGTGTTTATAACTGTGATGATTATCCTTCATTTAATTCTTCACTCTGCAGTTCACATATATGATTTTCATATATTCAAAATTTATGTATACTCTGTTAGATGTCATAAGAATTTATTTGAAAAATATATCCAAAAAAAAGTCAAAATTGGGATTTTTCCTACCCCAATCGCATATTGGTCAGGATTCGGGATTTCATGCAATATCGGGAGAATCCCGATCAGATTGGGATGGTTGGACAGTCTTCTTTATGTTAGAAAAAGACAAAAGAACTAAATATAAATATGATGTATTCACTGTGGATACTACCTAAATGAGTTGGGATTTAAGAATAGGTGTTAACCAGCCAAAAGAACCTGGAGGATTTTGCTTACTTTGTCGACTTCAATGGTCATGGGCGAGTAATTTTTTTTGCAGAAAAAATAGCATGGTCTATTCAGCTATCACAAATTATAACTGGAATATTTTTTTACACCAATAATAATGACTGGCATGTTGTTCACAGTTCACTGCTTTTACTTTGTTACAAATTATCCCAAATCAACGCAGACAGATGGAAGGCAATTATGTTTCATTTGGACACTGTTAGGGGCTAACCATTTGACTTTTGAGGGGGGCTATGGGTGATTTGGTTTGGGTTTCCCAAACCTTTGGTGATAGAATTATATAAAAAGAAGTTATAAAAAGAGCAAGGAATCATGCTAAAAAAGGACTCATTAAACAAGGAAAACATATAGGAAGTAGTTTAAAAAACCGGGAGAATATTAAGCGAAAACAGAGGCCAGTAATATTTGCCAAAAATGGGAGGTTTAATTCTGGCCAAAACGGGAGGGTAGGAATCTCCTTGGAATTTCCGTGCAAGAATTTTCTTGGCTTGAAATCAGTCTGCACCTGATATATTTTATTTCTGAAATTACTTATACCCCCCTCAAAAGTCAAATGGTCCCGAGGCCCCTTAAGACCATATTTCTATATCCTTCCACAATCAAATTCATTTGGCAAATGTTTAAAGAAGGGTGAAGGGGAGAAGGGCATTAAGTGTAATCAGAGCCACTAAAGATCTGTCCAGTGAATCATGGTGCAAAACTCAGTGAAAAACAGGGTTTTACTACATTACTGGTTTAGTTTTGAATTCTGGCTCTGTGTTCTACTGTACATTTATTGATTTCATATGTCTGTTGCTTGTTTTGATCTTTTTAACACAGATGATCACATTGATAGAGTCTACAAAGAATTGAAGGAGGTGTGTTTCATTTTTACTATAATGTATATAAAAATTGTTTTATTACTCTACATGTATGTACAATTTCAGCTTTGAATAGCTGGATGCCCACAGTGGCGAGTGGGCCGATACATTTAAACCTAAGTTAAGATGCTGTCTTCAGTTAGTGATTTGTATAAAACACTGCACAATAAAACTGTTCATTCATTCATTAATTTTGTTTATTCATTTATTTTGCCATTAACCACATATGAATACAACAAAAATATACAAGAAATTTGTAATACATTAAAGATGATATAAAACTATTCTAAATAAATTATTTACAAAATTAAAATTATGTTTAAAGTAGTAATGACAAGGAAAACTATATAGAAGCTCGGGGCTTATACAATATTGGGTTCCTGGAATTATAGGACACACCATGTGAGTTAAGGGTACTGCATGAAAAAGGGATTATTCTTTAAAAGAAAAGAAAAAGAAAAAAAAGTTATGTAGCTTACCAATGAGTATATTTGACTAAAGAAAGAAGGAATCTTTTTACGTCTATTGCTAAACAAACGTTCACTGTTTTGAATTTCACGACTTAGCGAGTTGAAAAACTTAGTACCTATGACAATAAAGGGCTTCTAGCAAAAAACAAAAATTCCCTAGGCTGCATGCAGACTTCATGCAGGCATGTGGAAAAAAGACTTTTCCATGTACAACAAAGGAGATAGAAGATGTCTGCATCCAGGCTTCAAACATCCACACAGATTTTTTGAGGATGATGTCCTTATTTTTTGAGAAATTGTGGAACAATGGGCCTGGAATTTTTTCCTAGTAATATCTATACATCATCAAGAGAAAATGCTATGAGAATTTAATAATAAAATGATCAGTTTATAAAAAGAAATGCTCTGATCTTTCCTTTAACTGTCTCAACTAATTCTTTAAGAAAATGTATGGAGATCAGTCTGCGTAATTTGTATGTGGATATGTGGGGCTCAGAAGGGTAAAACGAACAGTGCTCCTCCACTGCTGGGAAGACTAAAAGTAGAATTTCCCAGCAAATAGTTTCTGCAAGAAGCATGTAAGTTTAATTGTAATTTGTTTACCCACAGAGAGCACTTACTGTAGCAGGAACTCTTAAGAACTCACTGAAATGTGTCTGCATTCCAGATCGAATTGCAATTTGGAAGTGTTGGGTTTTGAGGAGAGAGGAAAACCGGAGTACCTGGAGAAAAACCTCTTGTAGGAAGGGAGAGAACCAACAACAAACTCAACCCACACATGGCTTCAATGCCAGGATTCGAACCCGGGCCACACTGGTGGGAGGCATTAAGTGCCCTCACCACTGCGCCACCCTTGCCCCCATGTTGTCTAATATCAATGAGAAAAAAAATAATATCAAAAATACAATTCAAATGTAGTTGCAGTTACACTAAGCATTTTACCCTTTGGGGAATTACCCATAGGGATGTAATTTTTTTAAGGGTAAAAATGATTGGAAACATTTCACTCTATTAGTCAGTCTTAAATATATGATCAAAACTCAGGTCACCCGACTCAAGCTATTTCCCAAAGGGTAGCCCTGAAATAATCTAGTGTAACCACACTTAATATTAAAAAATCTTAAATAACACACTCGTGCTATCAAATCTTCATACGTCTAACAATAATGGTCTACCACCTTGTTGATTTCACCTTGGCACTTCCTGTGGAAACAAAATAGGAGATCTGTGCTTTAGATAGGAAGATCCTCTACTTTCCACAAATGCCACTTGGAACTAAGGAGAGAGTGGGCTGATTTAGCAACAGGACAGGAACGTCAGTTGACGACAGGAAAGCGCGCAGAAAGGACTAAACACGACTTACGACTTTGCTGCTCTGCCATTGGTCAAGCCAGTTGTTTGATTTGCGCGCACTGTCGTCAACTGCTGTTCGCATTCTGTTGCTAAATCAACCTAGTGTGCACTTTTTCAAGGACATATAGGCTAATCAGTTTTTTTCCTTTTCCATGTAGCTGGGATATAAAGATGGAGACCCCTTAAAAGTGGAGGATGTTTGCAAGTTTGATCAAATGCATTATTATGGCACACAAGCCATTGATGAAGCTGTGCAAGCATTAGGAATAAAGTAAATAATAATATCTTACTGTAATTCTCCTCAGAGCTAACCTTACCTTACTGTCCGCTATTTTGCCACTTAACATTTTAAAAGGCACATAAATATAAAATTAATGCTGCTTTGTAAGTGGCTTTGGGAGGGCTTAGGAAGGGAGGGGCTTATAATCCCAGGGAGCTTTTAATTGGAATAGAAAAAATGCTTCAAAACAAGCTACAGTACATTTGTAGTGCTGACCAAAATACATTATTTTTGCATCAATCCGTTTTTAATTATCTTTCAAAAAAAATATTCAGTCAAATTCATTACATATGGAGGGGCCCCTTGGATCAGCGGGTTTAAAATCTAATCAATTTCTTTGTGTATCAGGTAGATGGGACTATAACTGGGGTGGGGGGTTTATGACCAGCAGTTTACTGTCTAGTAACTTCTTGTGATGTTTAATTTTAAATGCTCAACCTACTTATGAAATGAGTTCAAACCTGGGCAATGTTGGTGGATGACAGGGGCTCTCACCATGGTAACACAACACCTGCTCAGTGCCAGAACTCGCACAGCTGTTGTTACTTAAGTTCCTTTATTTTCAAGCTGCCTGTAACCTGCTTAATCTAGAGTCTTATTTTCTGGTATCTGAGCGACCAAAAGAGCCTTGCAACTACATGTAATTTACAACACCAATAACATTTATTTTATTATCCTTTTAAGCTCAAACCACCATGTTCTTGACGTAGGCTCAGGGCTTGGGGGACCTGCGCGCTACCTAGCTCATAAAACAGGCTGCCTTGTTACAGCAATTGAGCTTCAAGATGATCTTCACAAAGAAGCTGAAAATCTCACTCAGAGATGTAACCTACAGCAGAAGTTAAAGCATATCACTGGAGATTTCCTTCAAATGGATGTGGGTGGGTATAGCTATCAAGCGAGAGTTTTTCTGCTGATATCTCGACGTGCCCTTGAATACCCTACCCAGCTATCTTCCCTTGAGTCTTCTAGTCTTTCCGTGAGGTTTATAACTAGATGATTTATCGGTCTGAGACTGTTTATGTGTCTCTGGTACAAGTTTGGCCATTGAGCAGGAGGTGATGGCTTAGTTTAGACTGTGAAAAAAGTTCCTCATCCTCAGCACTACAGTTTACAATGAGACTCACTCCCTGTAACCCACATCTTGAGTACACCTTTCATATGTTATAGTGACATCATCCCACATGTTTAAGCTGCATACTGATGACAAATCACTTCCCAGATCTGGGCAGTGCTTTAGAGATGAAGCAATTTTTTAACCAGTCAGAAGCTCTATCCAGATCTGGGCAGTAACGCATCATCAGTATTGAATTTCCGCACTTGTTCCTCAGATGTCATTTCGGGGAGAAACCAGTGGTGGCATCGCAATGTCAGCTGTTTTGTCAGACTAAATTGATTTAGAATTGGCTTGAACACAGCAAAAAATAATAGATTCCCATTTTTGGATATTTTAGGGTATTTAAAGCATACCCACAAAAATTCCAATTTGGAAGAGTGAGACAAGCCCCAATCAGGGAACTTGGTTGGGAATTCCCTGGTTGGGACTTGTCTCACTTTGCCAAATTTTGTATTTTTATGGGTATTCTTTAAATACCCTAAAATATCCAAAAATGGGAATCTGTTATTTTTTCCTGTGGAATAGTTTCTTGGAAAGGTAGAATTAATTTATGGTAGAAGATCTGGAGAACCTGGTAGATAATTGTTTATTAAACCAGATTAGCCATTGAGAGAAAACAATGAATGGTTAGTAATGATTCAAGGCAACAGCTGGGAACATTCCATTTTAAAGTGGAAATGTAAGTCATGGTGTTTTTGTTCTAACTGTTCAAACATGATATATGTACCTCTACATGTCATTCTGTTTTACTTTCAGGAGATGGAAAATTTGATTTTCTTGTATCATGGCTGGTGTTTCTGCATATTGAAGATAAAAATACATTGCTAGAACGATGTTTTAATTCCTTGAAGCCTGGTGGAAAAATGTAAGATTTTCCTGAATTTGTATGTTTCTCTGTTGTCTCTTCTTGCCACTATGTTTCGTTATTAGTTGCCAAGAAATTAATTCCTTAAATTAAGGGGATTGACTCAATAGAATTTGCCCTTTTAAAGGAGTTCAAGGATATCAGCCCAAAGAGTTATGCGTTCTTTTATCTCCATGCCTTTGGAGGTATTTCAGTTGATTAGATCTTGCACTCAATTCCTCACCATTTTTTCGGATTTCAAAGAGATGTAGGGACTCTGGGACAGGTCCTCTTTTTACTTCCATGGTTTTAGACCTACAATAAGGAACATTTTGCATTTCAAGGTACACTGCTGATAAAACATCATTTTGCCGACAAGGTTTAGGGAGTTATAGGGGCTGTTTCCATGGATACCAGTACAGAGTGGTATTACTTTCACACCTTCGGTACCAGATATAAAACTACATTTGTTCCATAATTCGTGCTGTTAAGGACAAATTCAGGTAGTGAAGTATGTCATAATTTTTTTTAAGTAATGGATGAGCAAATTTTGAACTTTCGAAAAAGCCATCTATTTGTTCCAATACCGCTTCCTTAAGTTTTGCAAGTCTCCATGAAAATCGCCAAGAAAGCTCCATAAAATCGCCACCAGTTTACACCAGTGACTTTTTAAAATCCCAAAATAGCAGCTCTTGATCTTGCACAACAAAATGGTCCATAGGGGATGAGCCTTAACGTGTTTAACTCCTGACTTGTACTTTGTTTTGTTTTAGTTTTATTGAAGACTTTTTCCAGCTGAAGGGTGTGACTTTAAGTGAAGAGGACAAAAGAGCATATAATCATGACCTGTATATGAATAATCTTCCCGAAAAAGATGTTTATATTAACCTTCTCAAGGCTGCAGGTTTCACGGATATTCAGGTTGGTCTCACAAAAACTTTCTATTTGGGTAATAGTGAATTTACACAACCAGTGGGTAAAGGAAAGAAGATGGCAAACGTTGAACCAGACTTAACCTTCGTTTAAACAGACGTTTTTGCAAAAGACCAGAAAACATTAATTTTAAGTGAAGGTCATGGACCAAAACATGCAAGTCATAGCCCTGTCACATTGTCACACACTTGTAAATGTTTTGCCATCCTCTACTTTCCGCCAATCTGTTGTATTAACTCACTAATAATGTTAATAGGACTGAGTGAGGTCAAACTCGGTCTGTGATGACTCATTGAGTACAGGGGCATGATCCATTCAACCAAAATTTCCGCAAATTTCAGTCCAAAACTCAATGGATCGGTTCGGTCCAACCAGAAAAGTTTCGAAAAAACAAAATGTGGACCACTTTTCTCAGTCGGACCAGTCTGATTGAAAAATGACCATTCCATTCAACCATTCTGACTCATTCTTATTCCCAGTGCCTCACTGTTCGTTACATCCTGGGTCAGTTTACCCAGCTGTTATGGGAGGGTAGGGGTGTAATATAACAAGTCTTTTTAGGGAGGACAATATGTTTAGTGTGTTAATTTCATGCTTTGTGTATCCCATGATGGTAATCTAGGGTGGTTACTATTTACACAAACCACCCGGGTGGAAATCTTCTGCATAAACATAAAACTGCAAAATTTGACGCGGTGGGAGAACGTACCTTTACAAAGTAGCATCCAAATCAACTGAACAGACTAAAATGAGTAGAAAAATTGCATTGCCTAAAATCACAGCCTATTTTTGCTAAAGCTTCTCAAACGGAATGGCGCAAACCATTTGATTTTCCAACCGGAATGTCTGGTTTTTCGATGTAAATGGTAAGCAACCTAATCATTGATATAATTATAATGTATAGATAAATATACACAAAAAAATTGAATAATGTTTCTGCAGTAGTAAAAGTGGAACACAATCCAAATACAAGTCCCTTATGGATGAATGTGAATGACCATTCTTGAATGTTTCGTCAGTCGCTAAGTCACTGTGGAGAGGTTAAACTGACAGTTGGGGATGGGCCTCAGTGGCTGTTGCCACGTAGGGATGTTTAAACAAAATTCAATGTATGGACTGTCTGCAGTCCGACAAAATAGTGGTTGTTTGTGGAGGTGGCTGTTTGTGGAGGTTCAACTGTATTTGTGTGTTTTTGTCTTTATTTTGTATGCCCTTGATGCTCAAACTTTTTTTTGTTTATACTCAGTTTGAAGATCAAACCGCAATGTTCCTGTCCTTCGTTTCAAAACGACACGTGGATTTCAGCGAAAAAAAAGATCGTCATGTTCGAGTCATTGGCCAAGATGCATTTGATAGTTTGCAGTATTTCTACACAGCGGTGAAAAGTGTATTTGAGAAAGGACTCACTGGGGGATGTCGCATTATAGCAACCAAACCAGCACTGAATTAACTAAAGAGAATTATCAGTTATGGACACTATAAAGCGATTTCGTTGACAGTAATTAAGGTGATTATATTTTAATGTGATTTCTGACTGTCCTGGTAAGTTAAAGATTTTACTGTATGTTGTTTATTCGTCTCCCAGCCTGAGATGCATAAACTTTATTAACCCTTTAAGCCACAACATCGACATACAAATTCTCTATACATTTCCTTATAGAATATGTTAAGAGAATTTGATAAAAGACCAAGGCATTTCGTCTTTGGTGATCATTTTATTGATTCTCATAACCTAATCTGTTGACACTGTATGGATATCGTTAGGAGAAAATTGATGTTGGTCACCATTAAGAATTAAAGGGTTAAAGTCCCCTAAAGGCAGTGTTCACACTAAGTTTCCTCACACGAGACCTGAGAACTTTGTTCCTGGACTCTTATGTGAATGCACCTTCTTTTTTCAAGTAGACCCATACCCAAATTCGGCCATGATGGTCCCAGTGACTTTGTACTTTGTTTTCACTGTGGCAAAAAATTAGAATATACATATAATATGTAATACATGCAAAAATCTTGAAGCTTCAAACTTGATACCAGTATAGTTTCTGGATCCTGGATCTGAAACAATGGTCTCGGTAAGACTGTTATGCATGAGGTTCGTTTTCACAATCCTTAGCAGTCAGTTCCCTCAAAATACAAATATAGAAGTTCATGAAAGACATTCTCAAATATTCAGGAACTGAAGTACGCCCGAAAACGTTTATATGCCTTGATAAGTTCAAAACGAATGCAAAGTATGTAAAGAACCTATTCACAATACCCTGGATGAATAAAACATGGTGAATGATGTTTTTACTCACAATGTTTTTACTCACAATTTATTTGTTTGTATTGTTCTGTAGCCTAGGTTTTTAACATTTTTACTAAAACGGTTGATAGAGTACTTAGGTGCAACGGGCTTTGTGCACCGAGAATGGGAAAATGAAATATGGTAACAGGGCAAACAATAGGTAGTGATAGCGCTGTCAGTAAGAGGCGGGGGCCATGGATTTCCCCCGGCTATTATGAACGTGGCGCCCGGCTACTTTCGTAGGAAAAATAGAAGAAAAATAGAACCAAACGAAATCCGTAGCTGACTGATTTCCCGCCTACTTGTTGTATCTACGCGGCAACTTCAAATCTTAGCGCAACCCTGAGTGAATTACTGACAGGGTTAGGGGGTCAGTTATGTTTTGTTCCCATTAATTGTCAATTATGGTTTTCAAATGCTTGTTTACCTTTCCCATTCTTCCTTTCCTCTTCCCCCTTACACCCGTTCAGTAACCGCCGCCTGGTTAACGTAGTTGGGAGAAAGTATGTTTACTGAGCTGGAGGTAGTGGGTTCAAACACCACTGTTCTAAAAGAGTAGGAGACATAGCTGAGACCCTATGGCCAACCCATTATTATTGCGAAACTGAAAAGTATTTACATTGATTATCGTTGGGCAAAGTATAGTCAAAATTAAGTCCAAAAAAACAAAATTTTCCCAACTGGTTGATTAAATTAAGAAACGGTCCAGATGAGAACGATAGCATCAACGGCAACGAACGTTTTGGAATGCAAAAAAAGTGCTAACTTTTCTATTGTCTGTACTTACTTCTGATTGGCTTAAACAGCAAAATTTAACAAATTTTCATAAAGCGGTACATATATTCATCCTTACTTTCCAACCATCTTCCATATAACAAAATCTGGTCTCAGTTTGAATAACAAAGAAATCCTATGTGGGGAACATGTAAAATTGTAAACTTTTCTTGGCTATTGTTTTCAACTCTTGTGATTGCTCAAAATCTTTTGACACAAAAAAACACCCTTTCAAAGTGGATTGTAAATGCATTTTATTGCGTAAACGGCCTTCATGTAGGTTTATGCATTCTCCGTGTAAAAATGAGAACATTTCTATGTGGGGAAAGCACCGTTGCCGCATAACAAAAGAAATTGCTATTCACCTTACCCGGATCANTACATTGAACCAATCAAAACTCGAAGTAATTACATGTGGCTGACGCAAAGCGCGGGAAAATGCATGCGAGCGCGTCACAATTGGCTTTGGTTTTACTTCTGATTGGATGAAAAGGTGGCGCGAATCTTTTAAGCCAATCGCATCGTGTAGAAAGTGCAAAACCAATTACTTTTCGACACTCAAATGAAAACCGCTCTATTCTGGATAGAAAAGAATGCTTTTTATACCAGAAGAGTAAAATTTCAAAAAATTTCAAAAAATCGAAATTTTCCAAAGGGGTTCCTCCATGGTTTTTGTCAAAAAATTGAACTTTTCACCATCCGTGTTTTGGGGGCAACTCAAGCCAGAGGAGATGTTTTTTTTATATTCTGGATAGAAATGAATGCGTTCTAGACCAGAAAAGTGAGATTTTAAAAATTTCAAAAAAAGAGCAATTTTCCAAAGGGTTCAGTCCATGGTTTTTGTCAAAAAATCGAAATTTTTACCATGTGTGTTTATTGGGCAAATCAAGCCAGACAACATCGTTTTTGGATATTCTGGATAGAAAAGAATGCTTTTTGGACCAAACAAAGTGACCTTTCAAAAAAGTACAAAGAATCAAAATTTTCCGAAAGGAGATGGTCCACGCGTTTCGTCAACAACTGGCCATCTTTTTAGTTTAGGCAATATAGGGATGGAAAATGTGTTTTACTATATGCTAGAACGAAAAAACCCCTTTCTAGGCTATAGAAACAACAAGTTCAAAAAGTCGAAAAATTGAGATTTTCTCTAAGGGGTGTTAGTCCATGGTTTTGGTAAAAAATTGGCCATTTTTCCATCTTTTTATTTTAGGCAATATAGGCCAGAAAAATGTCTTTTACCATATTCTAGAACCAAAAAACGCCTTTCTAGACTATAAAAACAACAAGTTCAAAAAGCCGAAAAAATAAGATTTTTCCAAAGGGGTTAGTCCATGGTTTTAGTCAGAAATTGGCCATTTTTCCATCTTTCTATTTTTGGTAATATAGGCCTGAAAAATGTGTCTTGCCATACTCTAAAACGAAAAAACGCCTTTCCAGGCTATAAAAAAACAAGTTCAAAAAGTCGAAAAATTGAGATTTTTCCAAAGGGGTTAGTCCATGCTTTTGGTCAAAAATTGCCCATTTTCTCATGTTTTTATTTTTGGCAATATAGGCCTGGAAAATGTGTTTTAAAACATTTTAAAACAAAAAAACGCCTTTCTAGGCTATAAAACAACAAGTTCGAAGAGCCGAAAAATTGAGATGTTTCCAAAGGGGTTAGTCCATGGTTTTGGTCAACAATTAGCCAGTTTCTGATGTTTTTATTTTTGGCACTATAGGCCAGGAAAATGTCTTGTGCCATATTCTGAAACGAAAAAGCGCCTTTCTAAAATATAATAACAACAAGTTCAGAAAGTCGAAAAATTGAGATTTTTCCTAAGGGGTTAGTCAATGGTTTTGGTCAAAAATTGGCCATTTTTCCATGTTTTTATTTTAGGCAATAAGAGCCGAAAAATGTGTTTTACCACACTCTATAAGGAAAGACACCTTTCTAGGCTATAAAAACTAGAAGTTCAAAAAGTCCAAAAAGTAACATTTTTCCCATTGGGATTTTTCCAAAGGAGTTAGTCCATGGTTTTACTCAAAAATTGGCCATTTTTCCATCTTTTCATTTTAGGGAATATACGCCTGGAAAATGTGTTTTACCATATTGTAGAACGAAAAAAAGCCTTTTTGGGCTATAAAAACAACAAGTTCAAAAAGCCAAAAAAAAAGATTTTTCCAAAGGAGTTAGTCCATGGTTAAGGTCAAAAATTCGCCATTTTTCCACGTTTTCATTTTAGGCAATATAGCCCTGGAAAATTTGTTTTACCATATTCTCAAAGGAAAAAACGCCTTTCTAGGCTATAAAAACAACACGTTCAAAAAGTCGAAAAATTGACATTTTTCCAACGGGGTTAACCGATGATTTTGGTCCACAAATGGCCATTTTTCCAACTTTTTTTTTCTTTAGGCAATATCGGCCGGGAAAATGTCATTTACGATATTCTAGCAGGAAAAAAAGCCTTTCTAGGCTGTAAAAACAAAAAGTTCAAAAAGTCGAAAACTTGACATTTTTCCAAGGGGGTTAACCCATGGTTTTGGTGCAAAAATTGCCATTATTCCAATTTTTTTTTTTACGCAATATAGCCCAGAAAAATGTCTTTTACGATATTTTAGAACGTACAAACCCCTTTCTAGGCTTCAAAAACAAGAACTTCAAAAGTCTAAAAATTGAAATTTCTCCAAAGGGGTTAACCTATGGTTTTGGTCCAAAAATGGCCATTTTTTAATCTTTTTTTTTTAGGCAATATAGGCCAGGAAAATGTCTTATAAGAGATTCTATCAAGAAAAAAAGCCTTTCTAGGCTATAAAAAAAAAGTTCAAAACGACGAAAAATTCACATTTTTCCAAAGGGCTTAACCCATGGTCTCGGTCAGAAAATGGCAATTTTTCCAACCTATTTTTTAGGCAATATGGGCCAGGAAAATGTCTTTTACGATATTCTAAAACGTAAAAACGCCTTTCTAGGCTAAAAAATCAAGCAGTTTAAATAGTTGAAGAATTGACATTATTCCAAAGGGGTTAACCCATGGTTTTGGTCCAAAAATGGCCCTTTTTACCACCTTTTTCTTCGGCAATATAAGCCAGGAAGACATCTTTTAGGATATTCTAAAACGAAAAAACGCTTCTCTAGGCTATAAAAACAAGAAGTTCAAAAAGTCGAAAAATTCACCTTTTTCCAAAGGGGTTAACCCATGGCTTTGGTCCAAAAATGACCATTTTTCCAACTTTTTTTTTCAGCCAATATCGGCCAGAAAAACGTCTTTAACGATATTCTAGAACGAAAAAACGCCATTCTAGGCTATAAAAACAAGAAGTTCAAAAAGTCGAAAAAATTGACATTTTTCCAAAGGGGTTACCCATGGTTTTGCTCCAAAACTGGCCATTTTTCAAACATTTTTTTGTTAGGCAATATAGTCCAGGAAAATGTCTTTTACGACATTTCAGAACGAAAAAACGCCTTTCTAGGCTATAAAAACAAGAAATTCAAAAAGTCGAAAAATTGACATTTTTCCAAAGGGGTTAACCCATGGTTTTGGTCCAAAAATGACCATTTTTCCAACTCTTTTTTTTTTAGGCAATTTCGGCCAGAAACACGTCTTTTACGATATTCCAGAACGGAAAAACGCCTTTCCTCGCTAAAAAACGAGAAAATTAAAAAGTCGTAAAATTGACATTTTTCCAAAGGGGTTAACCCATAGTTTTGCTCCAAGAATGGCCATTTTTCCAACTTTTTTTTTTAGGCAATAACAGCCAGAAAAAGGTCTTTTAGGATATTCTACAACGATAAAACGCATTTCTAGGCTATAAAAACAAGAAGTTCAAAAAGTCGAAAAATTGCTATTTTTCCAAAGGGGTTAACCCATGGTTTTGGTCCAAAAATGACCCTTTTTCCAACTTTTTTTTTTTAGGCAATATAGTCCAGGAAAACGTCTTTTACGATATCTCAGAACGAAAAAACGCCTTTCCAGGCTACAGAAACAACAAGTTTAAAAACTCGAAAAATTGACATTTTTCCAAAGAGGTTACCCATGGTTTTGGTCCAAAATTGGCCATTTTTACAACCTTTTTTACGCAATATCAGCGAGGAAGACGTCGTTTACGATATTCTAGACCAAAAAACGCCTTTCTAGGCTATAAAAACAGGAAGTTCTAAAAGTCGAAAAATTGACATTTTTCCAAAGAAGTTAACCAATGGTTTTGGTCCAAAAATGACCAT